TGCGCTTTACACAATTGATGTGTGTATGGATTGCGATAACAGTTGTATGAGCCCCTAATAAAATGTTTTAAAAAAAAAAAGAAAGACAGAAAAGATTACGGATTAAGGAGAAGCCAGGAAGTCTTTGAAATACAGGTAGCTGAAGAATGAGGGAGTAATGTGTCCCACCCATCCCCTCTCCTAGGAATCAGGAGAACAGGGTTAATGCCTGCCTGTAAGAGAAAAGCCAGCCACCCTTTAGGTCAGGGCTTCCTACAGAAGGGAGTGTCGATAATATTACATTGGCCAAACAGAACCAGTTTAAGAATGAATCCCAGAGGACGATAAAAAAGATAACCAGGCTTCCCATCTCCTTAGATAAAATGGCATGGACATGACACTCAAGGAGCCCTGGTGATTCAGTGGGTTAAGCACGGGGGAGAGGGACGCTGCCAACTGAGGTGGTTTGAATCTACCAGCCACTCCAGGGAAGACATGTGAGGCCGTCTGCTTCTGTAAATATTTATAGCCTTGGAGACTCAACAAAGCAGCTCTGCTTTGTCTTCATAGGGTCCCTATGAGACAGAATCAGCTCACCGATGGCACGAACATGGCCTTCAACCTGAACAACCTGTCCCTGTGGTCAAGTTGCTGTCCCCTAAGACTCTACTCTGGTCTTCATCAAAAAGGACACACTTTTGCCTTCAGGAAGGTTCTTCCCAGCTGCCCGCCCCCCAGCTCTTCCCTCTCCCTCCCCTTCTCTGTCTAATCTTAATTCAAAACCCTCCTCCATAAACAGCCTAAATGTCCACCAACAGATGAATGGATGCATGAAATGTGATGCTGCCAGGAGGAGAAATGAAGTCCTGCCACAGCTTCAGCCTGCTCAACCAGGGGGACATCGTGCTGAGTGAAATATGTCATTCACAACAGGTCAACTACTGCATGCTCCCAGGTATGAGAAATACCTGGGACAGGGCAAGTTGAGAGAACAAAGCTTACTAGAGTTTATCAGGCGGGCAGAAGGGAGAAATGAAGATGCAAAGCTTAAGGGATGTTGAGTTTCTGTTAAGGGTGATGGGGAAATTTGGGAATAGGTAAGGGTAATGGTTCAACAACCTGGTGAACAAGTCTACTGTCAGTGAGCTGCACAAACAAGGATTGTGAAAAGGGCAACCATTCCATTGCAGGCTCAGCTATACGAAGGCAAGTCCAAAAGTATTGCTACAAGCCCCATAGACTTCTTGATTAAATAAAACTACTAATGTGTGAAGCTTGTTCCTTGGCATGTCCTCCATCTAGATTTGAGCATTTCCGATGGGGGCATTTCCATCTCTCTGACCCACCCCTACGGGCTTCTACAGTCTTCCGTTTACACCACGATGAACAGCAGGCTGGCATCCTCCAGGGACTCCAACTGTGCTCATTCGAAATGTTCTCCAAGTTTGGGGAACACAAAGAAGGCTGACGGGAGGAGACCCCGGATGTAGGACAGATGAGATAATGCTTTCCAAAGAAGCAGTTGTGGGAGAGTCCTTGCCCCGCTTAGAGAATACACAGGGGCATTGCCTACAAATTCCTTGGCGCAACTTTCCCTGCTTTTTTCTCACTAACACAGTTATAGTTATCAGTTTTCTTTAAAACGCCCCACTTCACCCCCAGGTGGTCACCCTGAGTCCCTTGAGTCAAGCTTTCAGATGACCCCTTTGGAACGGGGAGACCAGGTCTCTATAACCTTCCAACCTGACCTCTCAGCGCTGAGTTTACCTGGCTGCCATCTCCTTGGAAACCACCGTTTTGACTGATTTCATTTCGTGATATACCTTGAGGCAGCCTAATGAGATGAAGACAGTCTATGACTGAGGGAACGTGTCTGCAGCCGTCTGATCATGCTTAAACACCTCCTGGTTGGAGCTGCCCCTGGGGGATTCTGAGATGGTCACTCTTCATGGGCACAGAAAGTTGCATCTTTCTCCCAGAGTGGGTCGGTGGTTTTGAACTGCTGACCTGGATAAAGTATAGGTTAACTGCTTTTGCAGCACCCTGGATCATTCCAGTGCCCACCTTGGGAAACGTGAATCTAGGGGCCAGGGTACAGGTGGGGAGCTGCACGCAAACACACCCCCTCGTGCCATCTTGGGTTCCTAGTAACAGGGCAAGGCTCCCGGGCTTTGGGGAAGTTTAAGATTAGAATGGTCAAAAAGAGTCCCACTTCCCTTTTCTTTGAAAACTTGGTTACCTCAACTAGCCACATCCCTGGAGCCCGGAGGCCTTGGCTGCCAGGGATACAAACAAACAAGCCGTTAGAGAGAGTGGCAGCTGTCAGCTGTGCTCCTGTGTTGGTCTTCTCTCTGCATAGCAGCTGTCTCGCCTGTCTCCAGAGCAGGTTCATAGGCAAAATTACACCCAGGGTCCCTGCAGTGGACCAGGGGAGCCTCCACACAGGTGGACACCGATGAGGGGCCTCAGAAACAAACCCAAGCTGGCAGGTGGGTGGGTCCGAATGCGCAGAAAGGGTTGCGGCGTTAGGAAGGTTGAGAACCATGGGATTAGAATGAATGGCCAGAGGCAGCCGAGGGCTTCCCACAGGATGTTCATGAAATGCCAGCCCCGTGAGCCACATCCAGAACCCTGAGAGCAGTTTTCGGTTTACAGCAGAACCCCGGTACTCACTGCCTCCATACATAATAGGGTTTCGATGAGAAATGTCGAGAGAATTTTGCATCAGAGCTCAAACAAAACATCAGCATCCAACCCGCCATGCATGGTTTTTGTAAACAAAAGCACAGAAGGAAGGTTAGAACCATGGATCCAGAGGGTAGGACACAATCCCACATGTAATAAACAGCCATCTATCACGGTGTGCGGGTTCAGTGCTCACGAGCACACAACGTTACCGACTGGGTTTGGAGGCAGTCAGCCTCGGAGGACAGGAACTTCGTGATGCCCGTGTAGAAGGCACTGCCCCAGACCAGGAGACTAGGCTCAGTGAGGAGGCCTGCGTGGCTGTGGGGTCCTAAGGAATGGCATCACCCTTCAAGGGCCATGGCCTTCCTTCTGAAGACCCAGACCCAGACCCCACCAGCATGGGGGGAACGGTAGGCTCCCCTGCAGAGGGTAGTTCAGGGGCCACAGTAACTATGAGTTGGACGGCTAATCGCAAGGCCAGTAAGTCAGACCCACCAGTCACTCTCAGGGAGAAAGATGGGGCTCCCCTGTCCTAGAGGGCCACTATGAGTCGGAATTACGCTGGCGGCATGCATTTGGTTGATTCTGGTTTCTGCAAAGAAAGCTGAAACTGGGAATAGGGGCTGTATGAAGGAGGCGAAGCCCACCCCCCACACACCCGTCTGCCTGCACTGGGTCCACCCAGCTCCCCAGAGCAGAACTCACCATTGGTTGTGGTGTTGACATAGTAACGCCGGCCCTGCGGGGACAAGTAGCTTTGCCAGCCAGGGGGCAGCACGGCTATCTGTCTTTCCTCTCCGGGCGGAGGGGGAACCATTCCAGGCTTCTGCAGGGAAGGAAAGAAAAGGTCACACAGGTCTTGATATCGCCTGCAACTGTCTACAGACCGGGAAGCCAGAGGCACATGAAGCCATCCAGGGGCCGCTCCCTGGCTGGGGAGTGTGGGGGCTCCAGGACACCCTTGGGGGAGATAGCAGGTGAGGTGGGCTTGGGGCACTGGGAGCACTTGCTCTTTCAAAGCCATCTCTGCAGGAGTGACGCCCCATAGAGCACCAAGGGAAGCAGCCTCAGCTAATGGAGAAGACTTCCTCCTCTCTATTGCTGCTGTTAGCGGCCTTTGGGCAAGGTCAGCAGTTCGAAACCACATGCTGCTGCATGGGAGAATGCTCCAGTCAAGCGCTCCAGTCTTGAAAACCCGCAGGAAGAGTTCTACCCTGCCCTCTAGGGTCACTACTATGGGTCAGTGTCAACTCAAGGGCAGCGGGTTTCAGAGTGGGAGTGGCTAGGCGGCTCAGCCTCATGTTCCAAGGCCTGTACCATCTGCACAGTCACTTACACATCAGACCACAGTGGTGACCCATGGGGTTTTTTGTTGGCGGCTTCCAGAAACAGACCAAGTCTTTCTTCTTAGTCTGCCTTAGTCTGGAAGCTCTGCTGAAACCTGCTGGCATTGTAGCAACACTCCAGTCTCCTCCAATCGAGGGATAATGGCTATGTTCTACAGTGCGGCCAGAATGCTCCTTACAGGCAAAGAAGGTGAGGTTTCACCTCCATACTGTGGACATGTTATCAAGAGAGACCAGTCCCTGGAAAAGGACTTCATGCTTTGGAAAGCCCTAAAATAGAGGGACTTTTTCTAAAATAAAAAAACGCAGCCCCTCAATGAGATGGATGGGCCCAGTGGTTGCAACAATGGGCTCAAACATAGGAGTCGTCAGGATGGTGCAGGGCTGGACAGTGCTCTGTTCGGTTGGACACAGGCCCGCCATGAGTTGTAACCGACTTAAGGGCACCCGACAACATGAGGGGAACTGGCCTGGAATCGAGTCCAGGTCACCTGCGCAGGAGGCAAAGGCTTTCCCACAGAATCACCAGTACCTCCCCAGAAGGTGGTGCTGTGCTGGACAGGAGACTACGTTCCCTGCCTGTACCCCCACTGTGGAAGCTGAATCCTGAAATCCATAGAACACCTCGCCCCGGCCACAGTTTAACAGCAGCTGAGGCTCGGGGCCTGCTGTGTGGACCTAACAGAAGTAATTAATGCAAATCACAGCCGAGTGAAGTCTACAACATTCAACAATCATACCGAGAATCAATGGTGAGCTAGGTGTGCAGCTCCATCTGACCAAGAGATCAGACAATCTACTTTTCATCCTGTGTGTGTGTGTGTGTGTGTGTGTGTGTGTTACCATTTGACTGCCTCTAACCATGCACATGTATTACTCTGACTCTTCAAGAAGTCGGAGACAAGCACATAAACTATAGTGAAGCAAGGGGTCATAAGAGAGGGCCCTGCACAGAGGGGAAGGTTTATTGGGAGCAGAACTCAAAATCCTCAAACAAACAAAAAGAAAAAAAAGAGGCTTATTGGTCTGATGAAAACTCGTGGAAACCTTGAGTCTGAGGCCCGTACTCACTGGACCCCGTGGCTCAGCCCTCAGCCAAGCACCAGACAAGCCGAGCAGGTGAACCACGGCACTGGGGAGGCACACACTCCTTACAGTGATCCATCAGAGGTGATGACAAGGGTGTGTTCCCAACCCTGGCAGGAAGAAGAGGTAAGAAAGAAGGTGATAGACAGGAAGGAAGTAGACTGAAAGCCATTGCATTGTGGGTACTACACACCATGTCAAGAAGCAACATGTGTATGAATTACTGAATGGAAAACCAATTTGCTCTCTAGACCTTCACAGATCCCAGGAAGAGTTTAAAAGGGGTGGGGGGTGGGGGGTGGGGAAGGGAAAGAAATAAGATGTAAGTATAGATGCTAACAGAGTGGTTATTTTCCTGTGTTGGGAAACGTTTCTTTTCCTCATCTGCTCTGTCTACATTTTCTTCAATAACCATTAAAATAAAAGCCAAAAACCATTTAAAAATAAAGACCAACCACCCAGCCCCCCAACAACAGTACTGGAACCATTTGCTGTCAAGTTGGCTCTGCTTCATGCGGTTCCACGCGTGCGAGGTGCAGTTGGGCTTCGTAGGGCTTTCGGTGGCTGAGTTTTCGGGGTGGGGGTGGCGGGGTGGGGGTGGGTTTGAGAATAAGTGGATGGCCAGGGCTTTCTCCTGAGGCTCCTCTGAGTGGACTCGAATCTCCAACCTTCTGGTTAGTGGCCAGCACATGAGCTGTCTGCCCCCCCCCTCTCCCCGCCCCCAAATCAACCAAACTCACTGACACCGCCTCCATGCCACCTCCCAGAGACGTAACAAGACAGGGAAGAGCGACTACTGTGGATTCCTGAAGCTGTCACTCTTTACGGGAGTAGAAGCCCTGCCTTTCTCCGGAGCTGAGGACTCCTCAGCTCCTTTAAGTAAGCCCCCTACCCCAGAAAAATAGAAATAAAACAAACCCACTGCCATTGAGCCCATTCTAACTCACAGAGGGTTTCTGAGGCTGAAACTCTTTATGGAGGCTTACGGCCTCAACTTTGTCCCCTAGAGCAACTGGTGGGTTTGATCTGCCAACCTTGCTGTTAGATGTCCATTACTTACCAAACAGGGCCACCAAGACCACTTAAAAAGGACAAAGTGTCCACAGGGTCCACAGGTCCCTCCACAATTGCCGTGCATTTTTACCAGGCTTTCGAACCAATTCATTCTGGTTCAACCCCTCTGCTGACAATTTGCATTTCCACTCAGCTATACTCAATCAGAACCTACATTTTAACAAGATTTCCGGGGGACATACAGGGGATCTTGTGAAAATGTAGGCTCTGATTCCATATCTCTGGAGTGGAAATGCAATTGATCCAAAGAGGGGGTTGTACCAGGTGAACCTGTAAAAGCAATGATTTTTAGGAAAGTCAACGGACTATAAAGTAGAACCTTGGCTACCTAATGTGGAGAAAGGTGAGGCTTTTTGCTCTATAAAGAGTTACATTCTAGGAAACCCACAGGGGGCGCTTCTACCCTGCCCTACAGGGTCACCATGAGTCAGAATTAACTCGATGGCAGTGAGTTTGGTTTGGCTACATACAATTTAAAGTAAACCAGCTCCTAAATATCCTTAGCACGCGGTCTCCCTGCCCAAAGAGGCAGTTCTTGTCGCTGCTGGTCACCGGTCAGGCAAACAAGAAAAGATGAAATGCAGGGACACGCAGCTCCCAGGGGCTGAAGACGCACCTGCCCCTACTTCCTGAATAAATCCTCGCGGCTCCCAGGATTTCCTGTCAACAGTAAACACACACCATTTTGGCCCTTGGCTGCTGCATATACTTCATGGTGAACGTTCGCTGTTTAAATAAAAGCCTTCCCCTATGCCCTGCATGCTCCTGCCTCTAGTCCCTGGTGCCAGGGAGCACTGGTCAGCACAGCCAGTCACAGGACTACAGAGAGCCATTGGGGCGCAGGCAGCATTCCCTGCGCCGCCGAGCAGGAGCACACAGACCTGAGCACCTTCACCTGGCCTGTCCAGGGCTGGAAGACAAGACTGCTTGTAAGCCAAGTAACTTGATGATGCATAGAGTGGTTAGGAAGGTTGGAAGAAAGGGGGGACGAGTAAGAAGAAAGCAAGGCAAGGTGAGCAGCTATTAGCCCAACACCTAACCCACCAAATCAGTGGGCTCCTCTCTGTAAATGGCTCTGGTTAACTCAGCCTAATAGCGTGGTGGCATCAAGATAAGCCTATTGAGACTTGAGAACACTGTTGCCCAAGGAGGTGAAATTACTGGACTGAATGATTCCTTGTCCCAAAATGATATGCTGAGATCCTAATTCCCTAACACCTGTCAAGGGCTCTCGATGGGAAATGGATGTCTTTGCAGATGTCATCAGATAACACAGGTGAGTTGGGTGAGTCCTAACACAATAGCAACTCCCTCCCTCCCTCCCTCCCTCCCTCCCTCCTACTGAGTCTATTCTGACTCATAGCCCCTCTATGGGACAAGGATGAACTGCCCCTGTGGGTTTCCAAGACGGTAACTCTTTACAGGAGTAGAAAGCCTCATTTTTCTCCTGAGAAGGGGCTGGTGGTTTCAAACTGCTGACCCTGAACTTAGCAGCCCAACACGTTACCCATTAACCATGAGGGCTTCTTTATGACAAGACAAACAGACCCAGAAGGAAGGTACCCGTGGGAAGACTGAGCCTCAGGTGGAGGTCAAGGGCCACTGGGGACTTCTAGAGGCTGGGAGGGCTCACCTCCCGAAGCTCTCGGAGCACATGCAGCCAAGATGACACGCTGATTTGAACTCCCAAGCTTTCAGAACTGTGAGACAGTAAATACTTGTTCTTGTAAGGCTCCCAATTTGTGGCACTTTGTTTCCACAGCCCTGAGAGAAACACTCAAACTCCTGCCACCACCACACGCATTGCCATCAAGTCAAGCCCCACACACGGGCACCTGTGCACGCGAGAACACCTCCTTTGCCTGCTTTTCTTGGCTGCACATGATCTTTGACCTTCAGGTTATTAGTGGAGCACATGCCACTGGCACCACCTTGAAGGCTTTAGAAACTCACACACAAACAGAAGTCCAGTACTTGAACCCTAAGGGAAGGTGTACCAGCAGGGAAGGACTAGGTTCTAAGCCAGAAAAGGTCAGGTGGTGAAAAAAGAAGAGCAGGGGAGGAAAAAGGCACCGTGCTAACCTGGCCCATTTGCTAATTTGACCAAATGGCAAAGGCATGCCCCACAATCCACACACAGGCGCGCCTCTCTCAGCTTTGCCTGCCTTTGACGGTGCTTGCCTGCAGCCATGGGCTCTCTGTCTCTCCCCTCCCCTGCTGTTTGACCTGAAATTGGTCAGGCATCTGAACACTAGGGAGGCTCTTGGTGATTATATATCCAAGAATTAAAAACAAGTGTCCAAGTTTGTACTCGAATATT